TTTCAGTTGGGTTTTTCTCACAGGCAAGCATCCAGGCTGATATGGGGAGGTTAAGCAATGTCTCCAGCCCTGAAGGCCCATAAGCAGCAGACCCAGGATTTAGAAACTCTGACCCGCTGGGCCACCTTGCTCCCTCCTCTTTTCTCTCTCTCAGCACTCTGTTCTCATCTGTGAAACAGGGTAACAGCAGGTTCACAGGGCTGTTGGGAAATAGAGGCCAATGGGAACTTGGGTAGCTGACGCCCTTCAAGGAGCCAGAACCCCTGAGCATCCAGGTTCTAGTGCTTTGGGCCTCACTTTGTCCACTGCTTCTGCCATGAAGGGGTGTCCTTTCCTGTCTCATACCATCCTTGCAGCCCAGGTACCCAGACCCCTTTGGACAGCCTGTGACTGTCAGAGAAAGGGGCCCTCTCCCTTCCTGGATGCATATCCCAGGGGCTGACCCGGGAAGCTGGATGACCCTCAGTGCCCACAAGCTCTGAGTCTGTGAAGTGCAACAGAGCCCTGTCATCTCTACTTCCAGAACCTTCTCAGGAGCGGTGGATGCTTCTTGCTGCTCCATAAGGTCAACACATAGGGCTGGGGAGATGGCTCAGCGGAATAAGCGCTTCCCTGGCGAGTGCAAGGGCCTGAGTTCAATCCCCAGTTCCACCAAAAAAAAAAAAAAAAAAAAAAAAAAATCCATAAGGTCAACACAGAACCAAATCGACTTGTCTCAGTTTTTCAAGTTTACAGTTAGTGGTGATGACAGGTGGCAAACACATAAAACAGATATACACAGTACCACATAGTAATGCTTGGGAGAAAATGTCATCAGATGCCTGGTACATGCTAGGAAAGACAAGGGACAGGGTGATAGGCACTGCGTACTAGGAGGGGTGAGTGGAGGCCTCGCTGAGGAAGTGACATTTCAGTTGAGCACCAGGGTGGACTCATCTGGCTCCAAGTTCTTCACCAGATTGCTTGTTGACGGTACTCAGTCAGGAGTCAGCAGTCCCTCAGAGATTTGGTAAGCAGCTGTCCCACACTGGCAACAACTGTGGGACATTTGAAAAAGTTTAATGGGTCATTGATTTGTTGTACCATTAGCTAAATCTGTGAAGGAAAGTCCTGAAGGAGCCTCGTGAGCCCGTTCCCCAGACACGCCTGCTGGGAAGAGGCCTCGGCCTGCCCGCAGGTCATGACACATGATCACTTGTTTATTCTCTACCTAGTCATCACTCAAAGATTCCCAGTCACCACCATCACCACACTGGGGGCCCTAAGGTGTGGCTGGTTCTGGGATTCCGGAAGCCAAGAGAGCCCCACAGAGAAAGCCAAGTCTCCAAGTCACAGAAGGCTCCAGCACCTTGAATCCCTCCTCACAGCCAAACAGTACCTCCTTGGGATGTAGACAGGAAGTTCAAGTCTTTGCCCTAAAGGAACACCAGTGGGGGAAGGAGGAGGGAGAAGGAAATCAGCTAGCGCTACCACCTACCTTCTGCTGTGAAGCAAACAACAAGGTGTTTGGAAGAGAATGCCTGGGGGCTGCTTTGGAGAGGTAGTCAGACCCACCTGTAGAGGAGACACTTGAAAGGCCAGAAGGGTGAGGTCTTTCAGAAGAGTGACCCACCAAGCAAGACCAGTTGGTATAAAGGTCCTGAGGTGGAAACCAGCTGGGTGTGCTGGGGAAGAACCCAGAGTGAGGACTGCAAGGAGAGAGGGACTGGGGAAGCAGGCCGGGGCCTGGCTGGGTGGGATTGGGAGCCAGGGTTAGGAAGGCAGTTTTATTCTACGTAGGATGGGAAACTCTTGGTGAGTTTTTTTTTTTTTTTTTTTTTTTTTTTTTTTTTAATTTTATTTATTTATTTGTGTGTATGTGTGTGTGTGTGTGGCCAGCTCAGCCCACCAGGGGGCGGGGCTGGCTGGCATGTGGTGCTGGGGGATTGAACCGCAGTCCCTGTGCTTTGCCAAGCTTGTTCTAAGTAGGTGCTTTAGACCACTGAGCCATCTCACCAGCCCTCTGGTGAGTTTTGTGAGCAGTTGTTTCCGAGTGCTTCTTAGTCTATACATTCAGATCTCTTGCTGCGGCCAGAGGAAGAACAGATGTAAGAACAAATGAGCTGGTGCCTGAAATTAGGGGTTGCACTCAAGACTGATTCTTGTGGCAAGATTTCACTTTCTGTCATGGTAGTGGGTTGAGCAGGAGCCAAAAAAAAAGCTATTTCCAAGTTCTAACACCCAGTGCCTGGAACTGCAATCTTATTTGGGAACAGGGCCTTGCACATGTATTTATAGGCCTCACCATGAAGATCACCTGGATTACCTAGAATTGCCACATCAGCCTAGATGAGGCTGGGCCTTCAATCCAATGATGGATGTTCTTATAAAAGACAGAGGGAGATGTGACAGATGGGAGGAGACACCCAGAAAGAAAACCTTGTGAAACAAGGCAGCAGTGGCAATGATGAGGAAGCTGGAGCAACCAGGTCTGGAGCAGGCAGGAAAGGGTTCTGCCCTGGAACCTCCAGAGGGAGCATGGTGTTGTGGACACTGCATGCCAACCTCTGGGGCCTCAAGAACTGCGAGGGAATACAGTTCTATTATTGTAGGCCACCAACATGTTACAGCGGCTGTAGGAAACCAGTGTAGCCAGGAAGTAGCCCAAACTGGGGCCCGGTTGAGCCCTCCCCAACCCTGTGCTCTCCCACCGCATCCAGTGCAGAGCTTTGGCCGTGCCTGTCATCAAGCAGCACTCCTTGAAGTCTGAGGACCACCTGGGCTCAAAATGGGTATTTGATTGACTGACTGATTTTCGTGGTACTAGGGATTAAATCCACAGAGCCCTGAGCTACATACTCAGCCCCTTTTGTTTTATTTTATTCTGACGCAGGGTCCCTCTAAATTCCCTTGAATCTGTGATGCTCTTGTCCCAGCCTCCTGAGTAGCTGGGTTGCAGGCCCGTGCCACCACAACTGGCTTTGTTTTAGGAATTTACTCACTTAGCTCAACACAGAGGAATAGCAATGAACCAGCTCTGTTTTCTTTCCTGCCAGGGAGCTCTTGGCTCTGTGGGCTGCAGGCAAATTAGTCCTCAAATATGTTATATGAGGACTGGAAAGCCCATGCACTTGGAGAATCATTTAAATGCCCTAAGACTTAGACAGCTTTGAGTGTAGGGCTCCCAAATTTTCACTAATATGGACGACTTTTATTACTTCCTCCTGAGGGTCCTCAGTTTTCATAGACACCTACTGTTGAGCCAGTTGTGTTTATTCATTTTTTTGGTGGGGGGGCGGTACTGGGGATTGAACTCATGACCTTGAACTTGCCAGGCAAGCACTTATTCTACAGAGCTATCTCTCCAGCCCCAGTTGTGTTTATTCAGCAAAAATTTGCTGGTCTCTCCACTTGCTGCCATTTGAAGGTATACAATAATGAGAGCCAACATTTATCGAGCTGCTCACTATTTAAAGAGCATTATATGTAACCATGCAGTCTTCCCACTACCTGCGTCAGGTTATCACCTTTATCACTCCAATTTTATAAAGGAGAGAGCGAAGCCACAGAGATAAGCATAAATTCACCTAAAGCTGCACTAGTATTTAGTAGAGCCTGGATTTGACCTCAGGCAGCCTGTCTAAAGCCAGCAGTCCTATAAAGATGTCTAGAATCTGTACCACCGAAGTGGGCTCCACTTTGTAATGCCATTCTGGACAAAGGATTTTTGCCTTCCTGGGCCTGCTTCTTCCTATATAAGATGGGAATAACATCTTGAAATGTTTTAGCCCAAGGAATGGGCTGGAATTCAACCTGTATGACCAGGCAGGTGCTCTGGGTAAACTTGACAAGGGCATAGGATTAAGATGACACTGTCCAGAGGCCAGGGAGATGGCTCAGTGGAATAAGCGCTTCCCTGGCAAGCGCAAGGACCTGAGTTCAATCCCTGGTTCCGCAGGGAAAAAAAAAAAAATGACACTGTCCTCTGCTTCCATATAACACGCCAAGCACAGAGGTAGATGGTCTAAACTGGACCCCGCAAGAAGTCAATCCATCCTTCTCATGTATGCTTCTAGAACCACAAATTTTAGAGCTGACTGGGGTTGTTGGCTGAAAATACAGATACCTGGGCCAGCAAGATAGCTCAGTGGTCTAAAGCGCCTGCTTAGGCAAGCTTAGGCAAGCTCAGGGACTGCGGTTCCATCCCGGGCACCACATGCCGTGCCAGCCCTGCCAATGGGGCAGGCTGAGCCAGCCACAAAGAAAGAAAGAAAGAAAGAAAGAAAGAAAGAAAGAAAGAAAGAAAGAAAGAAAGAAAGAGAAATACAGATTCCTGGGCCTTGCAGAGGCTTTTGCTCGAGGAGAGATCCAGCAGCCTGCAGTATTCAACACACTTCATCACAGAATTTGTCCTCCTCTGAGTTCACCCCAAGCAAGATTTCCCCATACACTGGGAAACACAGAAAGCCATCCCAGGACCCCATCTGTTCATTCCTGTGCAAACGGAAGGCTTGTGTTTTAGACAGGGACATTACCCTAAGAGACCAGTGGGCTTTCCCCAGCAGCCTGGAAAACTGTGAGGCTCTAAATTTCATGAAAAAAACGGAGGCCATCTGCCTAGCACCCAGAGACTGGAAAGGGAGCCTGCTGCCCTCAGCCCATGCTCCAACTGTAAGCCCTACGGCCAGGACCCTGGCGCGGCAGGAAACGTTCAAGATTACTTCAAGGTCACTCATTGAGTCGCTCAGCCAAGTCTACGATGGAACCCCACATGCACCTGGGGCCTCGTAAACCCACGCTCTGTGGGCGGGGCTCCCAGGGTCGCCTAGGCAACGGGCGTGCGCCACGCCCAAGGCGGGAGTTCGGGAGGGGAGGGGGCAGTTTGTGCAGCCAGACGTCTCGCGGGGCTAAGGCCACTACCCCCGCCCCGCCTCCGTCCCCGCCCCGCGGAAGTTCTTGCTAACATCCACGAGTGACGATTGGCTCTCCAGATACGGGGGCGGAGCCTGCGGCAGGCGGGGTGCGTACTTCCGGCTGCCGGGTTGACATGAAGTAGCAGCGGCTGCTAGGGCGGCGGTAGCGGCGAGAGTCGCGGCTTGGAACGGGCTTTGGGGCTCCGAGCGAGACGCGGCCTAGAGCGACAGGCGGCGTAGCTGGCCGAGGAGGGGGCACAGCACCGCCCTGGCCCGTCATGGAAATGGAAAAGGCCTTTGAGCAGATCGACAAGACCGGGAGCTGGGCGGCCATTTACCAGGTGCGGGAGCGCCCCGGAGAGCGGCAGGCCCTTCTCTTAGGCCGCGGGAACCCTCTCCTCAGAGCCCCGGGCCCCGATCTCCCCGGGGTTCCCGCCCTCCACCTCGGCCCTGCGGCCTGGGCTTCTGTCCGACGGCGGCACAGACCGACCCCCGTCTCTCTTTGTCCCCGCGGTGAGCCTGCGTCTCGCCCGGGCTTCACAGTCCCCTTCGATCCCCACCTACCACACGCCCGCCGGCCCGGGTGCCCTCTCGGTTCCTTAGGCCACCGACTACACGCTCGGTGTGAGTCCTTCGCACCCCGACCCCGCCCCCCTCCTGGCCACCCTTTGTCCCCTGGGGTTGACTTAACACCCCCACCACTTCCTTTTCTGGAGCGGACCACCTCTGCCTCCCTTCCTTTGTCTTCCTGGGGGAGAGGCCTGCTCCCCCTCCTTCCTTCACATTTCCTTTCCCCTTGTCTCTTTGTGCGGCGAATCCCTGGGATGACAGTCCCTTCCCCCTTCCTGTTCATTCATTTATTGGCCATCAGCTGGCTTGCCTATTCCGTGCTAGGCACCGGGGTTAGTGTTTGTTGAGCAGGACAGGCGAGATCCGATCCCGACGGAGCTTGGGGTCGAATGATGCTGTGGAACCCAGGAGCAAGTCATTTCAGATGGTGACAAGTGTTGTAAAAAGAACGACACCCGGCCGTGGTGGAGTGTGGCCGCGGTGGAGTGTGGCCGCGGTGGAGTGTGGCGGCACGCAGAGCCTGCTGCCCGAGAGAAGGGGCAGGGGAAAGGGCTGCCAGGGAGAGACGTTTTCTCTGTGAGCTGATGAGGAGGAGCAGCAGACTGTGACATTATTAGACCCTGGAGACTTCCAGCGAGGCTTGCAGGACCCACTCTAGCCGGGGCCAAAATACTACAGTTTCAGGCAGAGTAGAGTAGACTTACATTTTAACTCTCTCAAAAATGGCATCTTTCCTCAGTAAACAGCTTATCCTTTGGTCGTGGCTCAGACGACCGGATCTTCCGAGACACCCCCCTACTTGTGGGTGTTAATGATTCCTAAAAGTTAGGAAGGTAAGGTAATTCCACAAATTTATGAAAACAGATTGAATACATGAAGAGGTCTTTCACAAGCAGACAAATCCTCTAAAGAAAATACTGCTGATTAAATGTCATTGTGGGGGTTGTAAGGATTAACCAAAAACCACACTCCGGTACTTTAAATAAATGAGGTACAAAATAGATGTTTGTTACTTGTGTAAAGGAAGAGGGTAGTTTCTTATGTTTTCAGCTAGTAGGCTCAAAAGGCAGATCGTGAGATCCATTATCTATTAAAAATCCATTTTGAGTCTCACTTAATAGAGGAGAAAGCTTTAGGCAGTTCTTTGGTATGCTTGACTAACAAAAAAGTCTTTTTCAGCCTTGATTTCAAGTGTTTGAGAGGATTCTTGATCTTTGGGCAGTAAGGCGTAGCGACTTGTGATAGACTAACATTTCTAACTATCATCTGTGCAAGTCTGACCCATCAATATATAAAATTCCCATTCCATGTCTAATTTCTGTAAATTAATCGAATGAGCTCCACCAGTGACTGAGAATATGTAGACAAGTTCTCTGCATCAGATCTAATGTAGTCGACTCCAGAGTGGCTTTTCCTGACAATTGCCAGTGAAAGTGCTGGAATCAATTGTGCAATACTCCATAACTCAAAGATGCATTCAGGGGAATCTTTTATACTAACACTGACTGCATTAGTAACAAATTCATTTTATTTTTTCAAATTTGACTTATACTTCTAGGTCAGAGTGGTCTAACCTGCCACCCAAAGCATTGTTAAAACTGTTAAAAATGCTACCAGCACCAAACTATTGATCTTCAATTAATTCCCCTCATTGTTCTTAAATTTCTCCACCACATTTAAATCCCACAAGTAATTGAGACACCCTCCCCCAGTGGTTGCCAGATTCCTGAAGGTGGTTTTTTTTGATCTTGAATATTGTCACTGTGGGCTTTTCTCACTTCTACAGTGCAAATATTTTTGTTTTCTAAAATCAAAATCAGAAGCTCTTTTCAACTTGAAAAGTGGCTCTTTATCTTAACAACTGTGGAATGTTTAAAACCTAGAACTCAAATGACCTTGAGAGACTGCAAGATGGTTAATTTTCCAAGACATGTTGGTTTACCAAAGAAATGTGCCTGCTGCTGGCTAGAAAAATGGAAGTTGAAAAAAAGTTAATGCTTTATAGCATATAATGAGAGCAGTTATACAAAGTCATATTTTGAGGTAGTGTAGTCCATTGTACTTAGAAAATTAGTGTGTAACTTTTGCTTTAAAGTTTGTGAACTAGGCAGTATAGTCATGTCTCAGCCTTAACTTTTCTAATTAGAGGAATAAGATGCGCACTTGGAAACAAATGGGAAAAGAACAAAGGGTGAAGGAGTGCTGATGAGCGTGGCAGCTTAGGAAACAAATGTTTCAGGCAAAGATTCTTTGCCAGCTCAATTTGATTAAGTGAGCACAATCATGTTTTAAATCTTTAATGCTAATAAATCGCATAATGCTAACGAGCATTTAGGTCTATAAAAAGTCTGCTTTGATAGCATCTGTAGATGACTTTAAGAATTGTTTTCTAACATTTAAATGACTTACAGTCATCTGATCGCAAAGTGGAAGTAGTACGGTATTCATCAAGCCTTGGACTTGAATTAGTCTTCCTATCTAAAAGAGAGAGCTCAGATGGGGAAAAGGCACTGGTTTTCTCTGATGAGAGAAGAGAGGGCTGGGATGAATGAAGAGAATAGATGCTATGCTACCCTCTTTTGTGATATAAGAGGGCCTGGGTCAGGTGTTTTGCTCTTTTTCTCATCTCTAGTCTTTGATTCTCTGTCCCAGTTCACTACTTTTCAGAGTGAATGATTTGATTGTTTCAGATAAAGGAGATTGCCACAGTAGCTTGTGATGTGAAGGCCAGATTTTTCCATGTTAGAGGCAGGCTTTGTAAAATGAACCACTCTTCCAACTGACATTTGTTTTTATATCTGCCTTCATTATGAAATACGATCTATTGCCTGATGAGGTTAAAACCTTGTTATAACAGTAATGCTCTGAAGTTCCTTACTGGCATATACAGCTTATGTTATATTCCAAGAAGACCAGTATTGAGACTTCCCAATGATGTTTGTTTAAACATGGTTCGCTTCAGAGGAAAAACACTATTTTGTGCAGAGGAGAAAGATCTATGCAGTATGACTCACTTCACTTAAGAAAAAAAAAAAAAAGATAAACGGAAATGACATGAGGGGATCGGGAAGTTCTAGTCATCTTGAGTGACCCATTAGCTCTAAATATTCTTGCTCAGTCTTGGTTTGAGTGAACTAAATTTAGGTGTCTGCTCATCACTTGGGGAGGGTGTAAAGGCCTTTGTAATTGTTGGTACTAAAGTGCTAAATCAGCGAGGAACATAACTGGAAACTGGTGGGAAGAACTTACTGCTATCATTATTTGACATCTCTAGCACATTTATAGTAGATTGGTACATCACGCGGTTCTAAAAAGTTAGTTGACAGTTAATGGTAAATGGATAAAAGGAACGGTGTTTAGCTGCTAAAGACCAACCCATTGCATTTTATATTTTAGTAAGAATAGCTCCTCAAAACCTATTTTTTAAAAATCTGGTATTGAAGAATGTAATTAATTGAATATATACTGAATTAAATACAAAGTTGGTGATAGAACTAAATATGAAGTTTTCCTGTGGAGATTTTTCTGACTTGAACTAAATGAATTGCCTTTTTTTGTCTCTCTTTTTTCCTTTCCTTTTTTGAGAAGAGGGATCTTTCCTGACCTTTTTGGTTACAGAATCTCTTGTCAGTTTTTGTTCTGTGCTGTGCTTTTAACTGCAGATACTTTCCCTGCTGCTTCCCCAAGCCCAAGTATATTTTGCATAATCTGGCATTCTTCCCTAATGCTCAAGTTAATCCTTTCCCAGTACTAACCAGTACTGGCAAACAGGCTGGGCATGTTCTTTTGTGCTGCGTGTGTTTGGGGAACTTGGAATTCTCCCCAAGTCGTCGTTTTCTGTGTGGTGTGCTTGGGCACCAGCCATTCTCTGAGCACATTTTGAGTACCAGGGTTGTTGGGGATTTAGGAATAATTCTTGGTCCCCTCTGATGTCTTTCATCAGTTGGTTCCTGTGGCATCCACCCAGTGGAATAGGTTCTCCAATTTTGCCTGTAAGACTGCACAAAAGGCAGCAGAAATGAGTGAAACTGGTCACCTGTTAATCGGGTCCCTCAGCAGTCTCACTCCCCATTCCCCTCCCCTGTGTGTGTTCATAACATTGCTGGAGTACTTATTTTGAAAATGTCCGAGCCTGTCCCTCCTGTGAAGCTCCTTCTGATGCTTTCATGATTCTGTTCAGGTCCAAGCTCCTTTGCATGGCAGCAGGCTGCAGTCGTCACCTTCCTCGGAGCTCTGCTTCCAGCCACACTGCAGGGCCTTGCTCTCCCAGCACAGCCTCTTTCCTCCCTCCGCACCACTGCTCAGCACTTGTCCAAGAGGCGGGTCCCACTCTCCCAGCCTGCACCTTGCAGCTCAGATGAGTGTCCTGTCCCACTAGAGCTTGGCACTGTCCCATGTGTTTACACATAGCCTAGGGCCCTGGCCTTGTTACAGCGGCTGCTTTGTGTCTCGGGTCTGTCTCTGGAGCCCAGACTTCCTGAGGTCACCTATTCCATGATCGCATTTGCCTTTGAGGCCTCTGCACCTGGTGCTGCGAATGTTGGGACTGAATCGGTTATCAGCACTTTGCTGGTCTGGTCGTTTAGAGATGGATCACAAAGGTTCCCACGTCCCATTGGAGGGGGACAATAACCGAAACAAATGGATTAGCCCACATTAGTACCAGCAGTAGAGGCTACTGTGGGAGTGCTGGCCTGAGGAGGCAATTTAGCGTTAGCCACCGAATGGCTTTGGGTGAAAGGCTTGACTTCCGTCTAGTTGATGCCATCAG